GAGAAATAAAACTTGGGATTTAGTTCCTTATTCTCTAGACATGCATATAGTAGGCTACAAGTGGATATTTAAAACTAAATTGAAGTCAGATGGGACTTTACAAAAGTACAAAGCAAGGCTGGTAGCCAAGGGATTTCAACAAACTCTTGGCTTAGATTACTTTGACACTTTTCTCTCCAGTCATTAGACCTGCCACCATTAGGATTATGCTATCTTTGGCTGTGTTTCATCAATGGGAAATACAACAAATTTACATTAACAATGTATTTTTGAATGGTGATCTCACAGAAACAGTTTTCATGCAGCAACCTAAGGGGTTTTCTGATTTTTCTTGTCCTTACTATGTGTGTAAGCTCAATAAAGCCTTGTATGGTTTAAAACAAGCTCCTAGAGCTTGGTTTGATAAGCTTAAAACAGCTCTTGTTGGTTGGGGTTTCAGCAACTCAACTTCAGGCACGAGTCTCTTCTTCTTCAAACAAGGGAGTCAAGTTATATATCTCTTGGTATATGTGGATGACATCCTAATCACAAGGACTCACACCACACTTATAACCCAAATAATTGAAGATTTAAATCAGCAGTTTGCTCTGAAACATCCTGGGCTATTACAATATTTTCTTGGTTTTGAAGTTCAAAGGGATGACTCTACTTTACTTCTCACTCAATGCAAGTATGCTCGGGATTTACTAATTAAATCTGGCATGAGTGAGTGTAAACCATGTAGTACCCCTACGGCTATGGGAGTGAAACTTGGTAAAGAAGATAGTGACTTTTTTGAAGAACCTTCTCTCTACAGAAGCATTGTAGGAGGTCTACAATATCTTACCCATTCTAGGTCTGATTTAGCCTTCTCTGTCAACCAGCTAAGCCAATTTCTTCAAGCTCCTACCATTGCCCATTGGAATGCCTGTAAAAGAGTATTGCGATACATTAAAGGGACCCTGCAATATGGGCTGATGTTTACAAAGAGAACAGAGTTTATTCTTGTAACAACTACTATAAACTAGTACAATGCATGCATAATAACAATAGAAAATGGGCCCAAAACTTTTCCTTTTTATTATTAGTCATTCGTCTTTTGTACACAAAGAACGTCATTCACAAAAATGCCATTTTAAAAGACAAAACAGGGGGAAACAGTGTAGCTATTGCTCCTCGCTTGCCGACGCCCCTCCGACTGCATCATCACCTAGATCCTGCATCTACAAAGGAAAATAACGGGGTGAGCACAAAATATTGCTTAGTAAGTAAAACCCTCTATCTGTCTATCCCCGTATGTATTGCTCTTAATTCTTTCCTCACACTTTCTGTTGTTTCCTACTACACGTCATGGCCTCATCTTACCGGAGGTACGATCGGATGGCGTTCACACAGCACCATCTCACTCTTCATGACTATCGGGTGGAATTCACACAGCACCAACCCGTTCTTAGTGACTACCGAGTGGGGATCACGAAGCACCTACCCGGTTTTTGTAACTATCGAGTGGAGACCACATAGCACCTACCCGTTCCTCATGACTTTCGGGTAACGATCACCAAGCATTAACCCGTTCCTAATCACTGTCGGGTGATGATCACAAAGCATCAACCCATCTCTAATAAATATCGGGTGATGATCACAAAGCATCAACCCATCTCTACTAAATATCAGGTGATGATCACAAAGCATCAACCCCTTTTCTAATAACTAATCGGGTGATGGTCACAAAGCATCGACCTGTTTTTAATGCCTATCGGGTGATGATCACAAAGCATCAACCCATTCACTAATGGCTATTCGGGTGGTGATCACAAAGCATCAACCCGATTCTCATAACTGTCGGGTGATGATCACAAAGCATCCACCCATTTCTAATACTCTTCTCATTCACTCTATTCTAGCACTTCTCATTCTCTCTATTCTAGCACTTCTCATTCTCTCTACCCTTAGAGTAGTTGCATCCACAAAGTTCTCTACTCATAGAGCAAGTGCATACACAAAGTTTCCTACTCTTTCTTAGGTCACTTCTCAATGCACAATTAATGCCTATGGATGGTTCATCTCCACTAATGCACTTATGAAATGCCAACATGCAATGTTGCAAGAATTAAGGTTCACTACTCATACTCAAACCTCTATTAGGCATTTCATCAAACAACTCAAGTGCATAATAAAACTCTACTATAACAATAATTCTATGTCTTTCTCTAACCATCCAAAATGGGGAGAAACCCCCTCACATAGCCACAAAACCTGCCAAAGAAAGACACTTCCAAAAAGGGTTCCACAATACCCCTTCAATTCCATCTCAAACTACCTTTCCAACCCACATCTCACTTCTTACATTTGAAAGGTATAAACAATCACAAAGCACTAGAAATCTCTATTTAAGCCTCAATAACATGGCATATCACATGTATATCACATACATACATCATTGCTATCAAAACCCTAATCAAGAAAATTCTCAAATCTCAACTTGGGTTGGGATTTACTTACCTTGTTATGGAGAGATTTCACTAACTCTTCCTTTCACTTGGTTTGCTTGACTTTTTCTCTACTCTTAAACAAAAGAACAAAAACCCTCAATATTCAATATATACAAAAACTCACAAAGCTTCACAACCAAAGCAAGAATCCTTACCTTAGGATGCCTTAGGTTGATTTTCTACCCCAAATCACTCCAAAAGCCCTTTAAAACTCCTTGATCAAAAGAAAGAGAATTTGAGAGGAAGCAAGAGAGGAGAGTGGCGATGGAGAAGAAGAAAGAAGGGTTTGCAATGACTTAATTCCTTTTAATGAAATTTATACACAAGCATTCCCATTTTGCCCTTACTCTTCTTTGGGAATTCTATCTATATCCTTTGATTCATTACAAACACACCCCCATAGCAACATATTCTCCATGAAAATTCCTTACAATTTACTCCCCACTTTTCCTGCTAATTAGGGGTAGAATGGTCAAATTGCCCTTAGGGAAGAAAATATCTAAAACTTAACAAACATTTTGGTCGGCCTGTCGCCGCAGCGAGGAAGCTTCTGTCGCCGCGGCGAAACTGTCCAGCAGCTTCCCGTGGCTTCAACACCTCTTCGCCGCGGCGAAGATTCTTCTTCGCCCCGGCGAAGCTTGGAACACTGAACTTCTTCTATTTTCAACCAATTTCAGGGCAAGTATTCAACATAACACTCAATCAAAGGTCAACCAAACAATATTACCAAGAAACCAACTCAAATAAGAGCAAAAGAAGAAACAATAACTACGTACCTCAAGTGGGGCATTACAATTCTGGAAGGTTATGTGGATTTTGATTGGGCAAGTGATGTGAGTGATAGACGATCCACGAGTGGCTACAGTATTTTCCTTGGAGGTAACTTGGTGCAATGGAGCTCAAGGAAACAAAGAGTAGTCTCATTATCTTCGACAGAAGCTGAATATAGAGCCCTCTGTCAAGCAGCCACTGAACTTGTCTAGATCCATCATTTATTTCAAGAACTTGGGATAAATGTTACTACAACCCCTGTTTTGTGGTGTGACGATATGAGTGCTGGAGCACTCTCATCTAACCCGGTGTTTCATGCTTGGACAAAACACATTGAAATAGATGTACACTATGTATGGGAATTGGTTGCTAACAAGCAGTTAGCAGTTCAATTTGTTGGTACAAAATACCAAGTTGCAGATGTTTTAACTAAGGCCTTACCAGGGAATAGATTTCAGTCTCTAAGGAGGAAGCTGAATGTTACTTCTAGTACTGAATATGAAGAAGACAGCAGTACTAATACTGAGTAGTTCATTGGTGTGTACTGAAAATGAAGAAGACAGTAAGACTTTGGTGTCTTACTGATTCTGGTGTGCAGTTCTGAAACTGAGTGTGTAGAAGACAACAGTACTGATACTGAGTAGTTCATTGGTGTGTACTGAAAATGAAAAAGACAGTAACACTTTGGTGTCTTACTGATTCTGGTGTGCAGTTATGAAACTGAGTATGCAGAAGATAGCAGGATTGAGGCTGGTTTACTGCTTTGGATATTGATGCTGGTGTGCAGTTAAAAATGTGCAGATTTTCTCATAAGTGTTTACAGAAAATTTTAGAAGTTGCAGTTGATGTGTTGTGTGTTTTGCAATTGATGTGTTGGATTTGGTGCAGTTGAAGTTTTTTTTTTTCAAATTTCAGTTGTTTGTTGGTTTGAAGATTGATGCTGTTTTTTTTGCTATTGGTATGTTGTGTGTTTTGCAGTTGAAATTGTGGGTGTGTTTTGCAGTTGAAATTGTGGGTGCAAAACATTGCAGAAAATTTTTAGAAGTTGGATTATTGATGCTGGTGCGATATTGTTTTACTGAATTTGGAAAAATTCAAGAAGTTGGCGGTGCTGTGGTGATTAAGCTCTCATAAGTTGGTGCTGGTGCTGACGAAAAGTATTATACAGTTCAGATTAAGGGAGCATATTAGCAAACAGAGTTTCAATCTCTGGAAGTTTATAGCAGGCTATTACATAGTTACATGGTCTAGTTTAAGGGAGCATATTAGTATAATAGGGTGCCTTTTGTAATCTTTAAGAGTATCTTATGAGGTGCTGTCTGTAAAGTTCTAAACCAGGGTAAAACTCTGCGTTTTATACTTTGCGTTTTATTCTTTGTTAATGCAGTATATACTGCTTCAGACTTGTAAAAAATTCCGTTAATTGAAACAGAGGTTTTCATCTCCTTTTTCGTTCTTCTTGATTCTAGCTTCTTCTTCAATTCATTCATAAGAAATATTTTTTGACAATTGTTCAGTCATACTCAATTACATTTCAGAATATATTATTCTATTCTAATATAAGGAAATGAATTAAACTATTAATTTTTGTGACAATCGATTATGGGCTGTCGAATGTCATACTAAGCTATCAAATTCCTATGATCCACTAAAAGTCAAACCTTGCCTTTTTCCCATTTAGATCTATTGACTCTTTATTCAGAAAAACCATTGTAAATGCCTACCATAACAAAGAACCAGCCCATCCAAAAACCAAATTCATAGCATCAAAATGCACGGCCTTGTTGTAGCGAATACGGTGGTGGCTGCGACGGCTTGTTCGGTTTGGGATATCTATGGCAGCCTTCAAGTCGTCACAATTATAAATACATTTCTGCCAGATGTACTTGGAACAGTAAAAGTCCTTGAAGGTGATGGACAAGTTGGCACACTTCTAAACGTTACATTTCCACCAGGTAAATTAATGCATATTATTTATCAAACATTTCATTTGAGCTACCGAATATTAAATATTAACTCTTCTTTGGTTTTTGTTTCAGGAACTCCTGGAGTTGGTTATATGAAGGAAAAAATTACAAAGGTTAATAATAAGAAGCGTGTGAAGGAAACCCAAACCTTGAAAGGAGGATTTTGGCACTAGGCTTCAAACGCTATATCACTCAATACAAAATTATTGGAATAATTTTACATCAAGTATTATAAGGTCAACAATAAAGTATGAGGTTGATGATAAATTATAAACCTTGCTTCTATAGTGAACACCAAGCTAGTGGAAACCTTGCAGAAACCGTTGGGAAGTACTTGACTGAGAAGAAAGCTCCTCCTTAGAATCTGCAAAATGAATTCGGCTATTGTGTTGTATTCTTTATGTCTAGTTTGCAAGGTTTTCTATCTGGTTTACAACTCATATTTACTGTAATTATTACGTGACTTTGTGACTACATGGATTTAGCTTATTGCATTTGCAATAATTGTTAGAATTAAGCATGATTGAGTTTAAAATTTAAAAACTTGAAAACCTACAAAATTAAAATAGTGTTGTGAGGTTTTAAATTTAAAAGCTTCTTTTGTAGTGTTTGGTTTGCCGTAGCCAAACCTCGTCGTCATCACCGTTACCACTGAAACTATGTGTACATCATGTCTCAGTGGTGCCAACACTGTTACCAGACTTCACCGTCGGAGACGATTTTTGTCCCACTTCAACAACTGTTTTAATTGGTACAAGTAGTTGGTAGATTTAATTGTTTTCAAGTTTTAAGCAAGAGACATACGGTAACGCAAACATTTCGAGCTCACTAGTTTGCCTCGTAAACACTATATTAATAGTTTTTAATAAACTCGTAATAATGAAAATTCACCTCAATTCATTTTAAAAAAGATGGATGGAAGAGGTTGACTCTTTTACGGTGATGGATGATATCTTTACAAGAGTAGAGTGCTCAAAGCATTAAGACTTAGTAAATATCAAAATGGATGTATGTCCCCTTTGTGTATGTTCTGGGTCTGCTCTAGTTAAGACCGTTAAGTACTCAACGCTAACAGGAAGATATTTCCTTCTTAGTAAATAAACTCACACATTTTTTAAACACAAACTGCAACAAAAATGGCTTGCCTTTGAAAAAAAAAAAAAAAAAAGTTTTATTCATTTGTTTTGCTTTCTGTAATTAATTTTGTTAATTGTTAAGCCCATTAGTCATGAGTAATACTACATCAACAATCCTTTCTTATAACTTTTTCTCACAATCCTAACGTGACAGCTCGTAATTAGTCAGTTCAACATTAATTAGTGAGACCCATGCAGAACTAGTTGTAAACTGACTAATTGCAAGCTGTCATGTCAAGGTTGTGGAGAGAAGTTGTTAATGTAACATTATTCAAAGTCAATTATAAGCAGCTTTACTGCTTAGCTTAATATTCAGCTTTATGAAGTTAGCTGTGTAAGTGTAGCGCCATAAACCAAGACATAAATGATGTTATTTAGCCTGGCTTGATTTAGGGGGTGTTTATCTGAGCTTATGAAAATTAGCTTATAAGCAACAATTACTTTATAGCTAAAATTAACTTATAAGTATTTGAAATTTTAAGCAATTACGTGTTTGGTTAAAGTACTTATAAGTGACTGATAAGTAATTGACGTGTTTGGTAAAATGTGGCTTATAAGTACATTTTATTATAAAATTACTAAAAAAGGTATTACATTAAACAATGGCACACTATGGAATTTTAAAATTAAATAAGGATAATATGGTAATATACTTGGTCAAACTAGCTTATAAACAAAGTGCTTATAAGCCAAAAAAAAAAAGTACCTCCCCCCCAACTTATTTTTTTTTAGCTTATAAGCTCAACTTATAAGCTCAAAAAAATTATAAACAAACAGGTCAACTTAATTTTAGAGCTTATAAGTAAGTTTGACCAACTTATAAGCTTAGACAAACACCCTCTTAGTTCAAAATTAACAAAACTTTTTGATATTTAAACATTTTAGTTTTACCCAATTAAATTTAGATTTATATTATTCTTGTCAGAATTAAGACAGGTGAAAAGCGAAAGATAGACAAAGGAGACTTAAAGAGATAATTTAATGAATTAACATTACTTTTTTATACTAAAACAAACTATAAAATAAGGTAAGTAAAATATTACTAGAATCCCCTAAAAGAGTAAAATAAATATTACTTAACTATTAAGGTAAATAATATATTTTTCCACCATTTGCATTCCAAAAATTATATTTCTAAAAAAGGAAAAGAATCAAATCATTATTTTAAAATTGTCAAAATATATATTTTAATTTATAAAACAAGTTGTCTCAAGTCATATTTAAATTTATTGTATTCTATTTTAAAAAGTGAACTAATTAAATATGGATTTAAAATTTATGAAAGTCATATTTAAATTTGATTTTGTGTTAAGGTATTCGACTGTGTCTTCAAAAAAACGAAGAAATGACAATTTGTATCAAAAACTTGAAATTATGTGCATGATCTTATAAAGTATTGATATATCAATGATGAATATTTTTTTAATTACACATTTTGAGTTCATGAATGATGTTGTTGTCATTGTCGGTTGTAATGCTAGTTCCGTTATTATCTTCATTTAACATATTCAGTTGTGGGTGTCCAAAACTTGAAATAGCTATGTATATAATTGAGGGACATATCAAACTAACTCGAATACCTTGATTATCCAAAAAAAAAAAAAAAAAAAAAAAAAAAAGAGATATCTTTTACTTAAAATAATTTATAAAATAAAAACATTTTCCGAAGATGGAAATTAAAACCAAATTATGATTTGAAAAACCTATAAAACTATGTAGTTTCGAAATGACTTGTTTTAAACTTGGTAATCATTTAACAAAAGGTCATAATACCTATTTACCTAAGCAAAAGCTGAGGTTTTAATAGGAAAAAATATAAAATAATTATAAATTGATCCCCGTGGAAATAAATATGTTTTGAAGGGATTTCAAATGTAACTAGAATTATTATAGGTTTTTTGAAAATGAGTTTGAAAAATATAACTTAAAATTCTATGCTATAAGCTAAAACTGTTGAATTTCTAAAAACAAAGAACTTTATAAATAAAATACTTGGAATAAAATTTTGAAATTTTCTGGTTATTAAAGATTTTAGAAGAATTTTAAAATATATATATTTGGAATATTAGACTTATGAAAAATGCAAAAGTGTAGAAGTTCAGGAATAGAGAATTTTTTCGGAGACGATGAGTTTTTACAATTCAAGTATGAAATTTTGCTACTCTGAATGATAAAGAATAGTAGATTTTGATTTAGAATGGTTTTGCGAAGTTTTAGGTTTTAGGGAGGTTATTCAAATTGAAACATTTCAATTTATAATAGGCCCTATTGGAATTTCTTACCTGCCACACTATAACCTGCAAAATAATGCCCTTAAAAGGGTTTAAGAGAAACAAACCTTCAAACTGAGCTTAATAGGATTTTCTGAAGCGTTGAACGGCTTTGAAACTCCTTTTGTTGAGTTGATTCCTTTGTTGAGCACTTCTATATTACTTTTCTAAAATGTACACTCTTTTATCTAATTATTTTATGTAATTAATAAAATAATAAGTAGATAATAATTTTAGAAAATTTGTGACAAATTTTTATAATTATATGATATCACTTGTCTAGTTGTTTTTATAATGATAGTTATCATTTCAATGTTCAAAGCTTTGAGCATTTCTATATTACTTTTCGAAAACGTACACTCTTTTATCTAATTATTTTATGTAATTAATAAAATAATAACTAGATAAAAAAATTTAAAAATTTGTGACAAATTGTTATAATTATATGATATCACCTGTCTAGTTGTTTTTATAATGATAGTTATCATTTCAATTCAAAGCTTTGAGCACTTCTATATTACTTTTCTAAAACATACATTCTTTTATCTATTTATTTTATGTAATTAATAAAATAATAAGTAGATAAAATTTTAGAGAATTTGTGACAAATTGTTATAATTATATGATATCACCGGTCTAGTTGTTTTTATAATGATAGTTACTAATACAATAGTCAAAGCTTAGACCATTTCAGTATTACTCTCATTAAATGTTTTTTCTTTGATCTACTAATTTTATGTAATTAGTATAATGATAATAAGATTCTTAGAAAGTGGTAATCGCTTATTATAATTATATAATATTACCTTTTTAAATTAATAACAGATAGTGAATTTATCATATATTGTTCGAGTAGAACCAGAATCGATGGTCCAGTTCCACTAGTCCAAGCAACCAGAACTAAACCATGAACCAAAACCGAAATCGAAATCCAAGTACTCAAGTTGGAACCGGTTTGAGAAACAAGACTTAATTGAAGTTTAGAAAAAAATGGGAGCTCTTTTGTAATTTTACCTATTAAATAACAATTTAGGGTTTAGGAATTGAGGATTAGGGAATATTGAAATTTTTTGTTAGCAGAGAAGAATAAGGAGAAGAAAGAGGAAAATAAAGAGATGGAAGAAAATAGAGAGACAAAAAAGAGAGGAGGAAGTGAAGAACTAGAAAAATAACATAATGGAAAGAAAGAGATGGTAAAGCAAGGTAGCAATTGTATTTGGTAGCTTGACGGCGACATGTTACACGTTCAACAAGGATGATGGATTAGCTCCGATCGGAAATGGCAATGGGTTGAGAAAAGGAATTAGGGGAAAGATAGAAGACAAGAGAGAGACAAAAAAGATGAGTAAGTGAAGAAACATAAAAAAAGAAAGAGAATAGAAGAGAAGTGAAGAATCAGAATGGAAAGAAAGAGATGGTAGAGCAAGGCTGCGACAGGATCTGGTAGCTCGACAGCGAAGTGTTACACATTCGGGAAGGACGACGATGTTGGCTTTGATAGGAGATGGCAATGGGTTGAGTAGAGGAATTGGGGGAAATGAAATATGTGATGAAGACTTTGGGTTGTAACTTTCGAGAATAGTGCAGGGTACCCAAAACCTGAACCAAAACTTGTGGTTTGGGCTCTTATTTTGGATTCCAAGAATTTAGGAATTGGAACTGGCAAGTTCCAGTTTCGGTTCCGGTTCCAATTCCTAAATCCCAAGAACTGGTCGATTCCGGTTCCTAGGATTTGGGCCGAGTACCCGGACCCGCCCACCCCTAGTT